TGCTGGAGGACATAGGGACCCCTTTTTCATCATTCTGCTTCATTCTATCTCTATTCTCCCACTCTGCAGAATCTGTTAGTTCAATCTCTAACGTTCTGCTCTCTCTGCTTTTTCTCATAGTAGCTTCATCTGGTCTGTTCCTGTTTGGCTGTGACTCCATCCTGGAGAGAAATATCAGCTGTGCTGCTTCCATCAACACCCTTGTTTATAGATGTTGGAGATCGGCCTGTTTTCCAGTGTAGTCCTGTTTCTCTGACTGTGACTAACTGGATGTGCTCTCTTCATCCTCTGACATGGGAGCTGGCTCGGAGCTCGTCTGCCTGGCTGTGTGTTTCCTGGACGGGGCCGCCTTTTACAGCTGCTTTTTGTATCTCTGCTTCTGTCTCCTTGAACCCCAGTCGGCCTCAGCAGATGGCCGCTCACACTGAGCCTGGTTCTGCTGGAGGTTTCTTCCTGTTAAAAGGGAGTTTTTCCTCTCCACTGTCGCTACAAGCATGCTTAGTGTGAGGGATTGTATTTGAGTCAATGAGTCGATGCAATCAACTGGTTTTCCTTAGATAGAAAACTTTGTATCAATTTGACTGTATGATCTGGTTGAACTGTAAAGTGCCTTGAGATGACATGTGTTGTGAATTTGGCGCTATATAAATAAACTGAATTGAATTGAATTGAATTGAAGAGCCAGTTTGACCAACAACAGTTCACGATATCCAACGTCATAGTTACTCTCAGCACATGAAAGCTTCACAAAAAAGAAGGCACATGGGTGAATTTTGCCGTCCCTAGCCTCCTGCCTAAGAACTGCAATGACACCATGCTTGAAGCATCCACCACCACAATAAATTGTTTCTCTGGATTGCGAGAAACCAGAACTGGTGCGGAGAAGAAGCATGAGTTAAGCTTCAGGAAGGCTTGATTAGCCTGTTTATTCCTGCAGAGCTTTACTTTGGCTGAAGTGAGGGGAAGGAAGGGGTGCAGCCACCTGACTGTAGTTCCTGATGAACCTTTTGTAGAAGTAGGCAAATCCCAGGAAACTCTGAATTTGCTTTCTGTCCTTAGGAACAGGCCAGGCGGTAACTGCATGCACCTTCAAGGGATCAATAAAGATCTGATCAGGAGAAACCACAAAACCTAAAAAAGACATGGTGTGCACATAGAATTCACATTTCAAGGCCTTGAGAAACAAGCGATTTTAACAGAACATATCTGACATATATCTTATGGGATTCTAAATCCTGAGAGTAAATGATGATATCATCCAGGTAAAGATAAACTTAATGACCCACCATGACTCTATGCACCTGACTGACAAGTCTCTGGAAGACAACTGGGGCATTGGTCAGTCCAAAAAGCATCACAAGTTATTTGTAGGTCCCAGTGGGGGTGTTGAAAGCCATCTTCCATTAGTCACCCTCTCAGATGCTGATAAGCATTGCGGAGGTCCAGCTTAGAGAAAACTCTCGCACCCACAATCTGATCGAAAGCTGAGTTTATCAGAGGGATGGGGTAACAACTTTTAACTGTAATCTCTTTAAGACCCTTGGAGTTTATGCATGGTCTAAGGGAACCATCCTTTTTGCCAATAAAAAAGAAACCAGCACCGGCAGTAGAGGATGAAGGAAAAATAATGCCTGCCTTCAGCAAATCAGAAATGTACTTCTCCATAGCCAAAGACTCAGGGATAGATAAAGAATATAATCGGCCCCTAGGGGGTGTGGAACCAGGCAGTAAATCGATGCCACAATCATAAGGTCTGTGCAGGGGGAACAGTGGTGGCCTTGCTCTTATTAAAAACCTCCCTGAGGTCATGGTGCACATCAGGAACCTTAAACGAATTGGGGTAATGCTCATCCTCAAGCACTTGTGATTGGGGTTTCTGCCTTAACAGAACATTACCAGGAGGTTGACCAATCCAAAACCTACACTTTCTGCCAGTCAATATGTGGGTTGTGCTTATTTAACCAATTTTAACCTGATATCACAGAGACCTGAGGTGAATCTATGACAAGAAAAGATATTAGTTCAACATGGTTTCCACCCACCACTAGTTCAACAGATTCTGTCATGAGGTAGGTTCTGTTCAGTTGATGACCATCCAAGGCTAGGACCTTGTTGGAATCCAATGAAAGCAGAAGCTTGATGCACAGTAGTCTGGCAAAATCTCTGTCCATAAACTTAGTATCTGCCCAGGAGTCCACGCAGGCTGACAGGCTATGACAACCTGAATGTACAGATTATGACACAGGGAGAAGAAAATCTGGGAAAACAGATAACTTGTCTTGACGTAGCAGGATTCCCCCTTCTCCTACTGGGCCTGTTCTTTTTACAGGCAGGATCTCACCCGGTGTCCTTGTCCACCACAGTAGAGGAACTCTGAGTTTGAAGCGCACATCTCCTCATCCTCCACAGGAAGTCCAAGCGCTTCTGGGCCCTTTGGACCAGTGAGGTGGTGTTTCCAGTCCAGGTGAGGGTGTCTGTGATGAATTTGGTGCTGCTGACCACCTCTACAGCTGAGCTGTTGATGAGCAGTGGAGCGTGGTGGTGTCGGAAAATTTAGATTTCTCTTCTATTATATATTAATTTATCCTATTTACTCACTATAAAAGTTTTCACTCAGTCTGTTTCTCTCTCAAGGCCACACCATTCTCTGCAGGATGGTGCTTGTAGACCACACATAGCTTCTTCCCATAACAAATCAGATTCTTTCTCAAAGTTTATTCAGAACATGTTACTGTTTAACCAAAGTGTGTGTGATTTGTTTTGACTCTGACTACTTTCCATTGTTGTAAGTAAGGAAGAACAAACGCTGCCCAGATCAGAACAGAGCAGAATGCTGTGCCATGATGACTGTTCTCTCTTTGCAAAGATGATTAATAAATGTGCCGACTGAGTGAAATCCATCGATCTCCGTTTATTTAACTAGGATGAATAGTTGAATACTTTTTTCCCACGACAATTTGGCGTTGTTGGCAGGATTCTCTTTGACTGATTTTTTCTGAGGACAGCGATTGTCAGAAGTGTCAGGAACCACCTGGAGGAAGCAGTCTTCCAGCCTCAATACCCCGGTTAGAAGGTTAAGGGAGTGAGGACTTCTGGCATCGAGGTCCCTGGAGGTCAGCAGGAGGATCAAAACAAACCATTCAGTTTGAGACGGTGAGATGAATCTTTTGTCGGCACAGTTTAAATTAAATTTCAAAAACTAAATTACAAAACAACAGATTGTTAACAGATTTAAAATTACTAGCAATCAAATACTAGAAAATTTGGTCAAACAAAGTCCTCTTCTTCTCCATTAAAATGATCAAATAAATAAATGTAATCTAGCAAAAAAACTAACTACATGAAAGATTAATAGGTTAATCATTTTAATGCACTAAAATTTGTATAAAACTAAAGAATATACATACAAAATAACAGATATTTTTTCTTTTGGGGAAACGAAAGGCAATTCAGGTTTTTTTCCGCTTGTGAACCAAAAGACCTCGCACAGGAACGTGAGGCTCTCTCTAAGCACTGAGAGGAAGGTTGTAGGTGCCACCAGAAGGTACTTCTTATTTCTGAGACGTCGGTAATCTAGAGTGGGATCCCCCCCAGTTATCCAGGTTGGCACCAGAGGAATGGTGTGCATATTGGGCAGCGTTAAATTACCTGTATATAATGGGAAAGGTTTTGCAGTTCTATGGTAGAAGAACAAAGGCAAGGTTTTGGATCTAGCGCCCCCTTCCGTACCTCGCTGACAAAACCTTTGAAAATCTGCAAACCAACTAAATACGTGGCGCCCTGAGTTTCTATCATTAAAAGGTGATAAAACTGCAGTCGTTTTTATTGGTTTGGTCATGAGCACCCTTGAGAAACTTCTGTAAATATATATCTTTTTAACCCAATAAGAATATTACGATGGAATAATACATTGCAAGATGTAATGTCCTTTTACTTTTTTACTAAAAAATAAGGGTTAAATGAAATTACAGAATTTAAATAAAATGCAGAATACACTTTGTGGTGTGGCTCAATAAATCAAAAACACTCACGCAAAAGGGTGAGATCAAAGCTTAAAATAAATTCACAGAGCTCTCCAAGTGATGCACGTTCAAAATACATGTGTCTTAACAAAAAACCTTGAAATTTCAAGTTAATTTGAGCTTAACCAATTACTCTTTAAAGTAGGAAAAATACTCTTCAAAGTTCAAAATTTAATCCCTCAGGGTCCATTAGTCACTTCCGATGTCATAAACAAACACTTAGTTCAAATGCAAAAATCAAAGTGGTTACATGGACTTCTCTTTGTTGAGGCATGTCTGGTCGAAAAAGAATTGCAGACTCAACAGAGCTTTGATTTACACGTACTTGTTATAGTTTTCAATTTTGAAACATACATAACACATACTTAACACAATAAATATTACTGAAATTGTGGTTTTTACTTTTCTGTCATTGTCAGTTTTTGGGATGGTCAAGTAAAGTTGGCTTAATTTACTTAAAATAGTCATCACTCACACTGTACATCTGATTTTCCATTTCTTAAATAAAAGTTTTTAATTATCTGGACAACTCTAGCATTCTAGAAAAGATTAGGAGAATAACAACTAAATACACAATAAAATCACATTAAACAAACAAAAACAAACTGCTGTCTCAGTTTTACCAGGAAATGAACAGCAACATAGTTAAGATGTAGGAAACAGGAAAAATGAATTAAAGAGAAACTGATCAAATCCTACTAGACATACTAGGTGACATAAAGTGTTTTCCATAATGTTCTGGAAAATATAGTCAGACTTCTGATCCTGCTGTTGGTTCACTGCTCATGAGCAAGGCACTTTAATATGTCTGGAACAGTTTGGTTTTTTGGAATTTTTTTTCTCCAAAATCAATAAATTCAATATCTAATTTGACTAAATTATCATTTTGTAGTAGAAGTAGAGTACAGGCAGGAGGCGTGGTTTACAGAGAAGAATAAATGTTGTCTGACTGCTGCTTCCTGGTACAGTGACATTTCTCCTTTACTTGAATAACAGCAGTTTCCTTCTGCAATGGGCGACGGATTTATCATAGCAATAGACTTTGGGACAGCATTTAGCGGATATGCCTTTAATATCAGTCCCAGAGGGAAAGAAAGTGAACCTCACTTGAAAAGATGGGGGAGAGAGTATGGATTAGACACCCCAAAGACTCCAACCTGCATTTTATTTAATGAAGATAAAGAATTTCTTAGTTTTGGTTATGAAGCCCAAATGAAATACATGCACATGAGGGGAGAAGAAGCAAAGAAACATTATTTGTTTGAAGACTTTAAGATGGCTCTCTACAACAAAGTAAGTACAGGACATTTTCAGACTTTTGGACAAAAATGAACAGTCATTATTGCACTCATGAATGCTGCATTTTAAATATTCAGTTGCTTAGCATTGCATACTTATTTAACCTGCAATAGAGGGTGTTCTCTTGCAGTTAGTAAAAATAATCAATTTTAAATGTATAATTAAGGTATATGCATAATTATTTAACCACATTACATTGGTGTTAATTAGGTTAATCTTTATAGTTAAGAGTTCACTTTATATAAATTCTGATTACGTTTGATAAAACTTTTGTACAACAGAATAAAAAAAGGAGATGAGATTGAGATAAATAATTTGTTTACAACTGTTACATTGAAAACAATAAAAGAAAATGGAAAAAAGTTGTAAAGAATATTAATTTCTAAACATTTTGGTTAAAATGATTTAAAATACATTAGGAGAAAAATCACTGCTCATACAACCACATTGCTGTATCTAAGAATAAATAAACATTTCCAGAAACTCAACAATGATCTGAAGATTAAAGATGCCAGCGGGAAACCTATGAAGGCACTAAACGTTTTCAAAGAGTCCCTGAGATTCCTAAAGCAGGACGCTCTAAAAACCATCAATTCCAACACTAGGGGGATGAAGTTCATTCCCTCTTTCTTCACCTGGGTTCTCACGGTTCCTGCCATCTGGGATCCTTCAGCTAAACAGTTCATGAGAGAAGCTGCAAAACAGGTAAAACCAGATTTAACAGAGAACAATGACATTCAGAGTATTCCAGAAAGATGAGAGTTGTTTTCTTTGTAGGCAGGTATTGTAACAGAAGGACGGGAGAATAATCTGCTTATTGCTCTGGAGCCAGAAGCTGCTTCTATCTGGTGTATGAAGCTTCCACCAGAAGGTTTCATCTCTGAGATCCACAGCAAAGATACACTGGATGAGTCTCCAGGGACTCGGTACATTGTTGTTGACTGTGGAGGTAATGTCTGTGATTCTGAGTTATTGAGTTACTGATTCAATCACTAAGCATTTTAATCTCTACACACAGGAACATTTTTAGAAATGACTGTTATTACAATCTGTCGTAAACTAAAACAAATAATGTGAATAAATGTGACTGTTTAAATAAATAAACCATCATTTTCCCATCTGTCCTTTTAGGAGGAACTATTGACATGACAGTTCATGAAGTCCAGGATGGAGGAACCCTGAAGGAGCTGCACAAGGTCTCTGGAAACAACCTAGGAGGACAAACTGTGGACAGAAAATTTAAACATTTTCTAAGAGAAATATTCCCTGATGGAGTCTGGGATGAATTTCAACAAAACTCTCCCAGTTTGGCTCAGAGAATCATGTATGATTTCACTCGTCTCAAACAAACAGATAGAGATATTCAGATCAGCCCCCCATTCAAACTGGTATCTTTGGCTAAAAAAATGTCAGGAAGAGAAAATTTCATCAAGTCAGACCTCGGTGCTTCCTGGGATGATGATTACATCACAATCTCTCGAGATAGACTGAGGTCTTTCTTTGATGAAAGTCTGACAGGCATCACCCAGATCCTGAGAGAAATCTTTAACTCTGTTCTCAACATTAATTACATTCTGTTGGTGGGGGGGTTTGCTCAGAGTAAAATACTGCAGCAGCACATTATTGATCAGTTTGAACATCATTGTGAATTTCTGTGTCCTTTCAGAGCCCAGGAAGCGATTGTGAAGGGAGCTGTAGAGTATGGTAGAAACCCACAGGTTTTTATTTCTCGTAAAAGTTCCTATACTTATGGATTTGCTGTTTGTGAGAAGTTTGATAAGAGGAAACACAAGGAAGAGAAGAAATTTACAGCAGGAGGCGTGGAATACTGTAGAGATATTTTTAAGAAATTAGTGGAAGAAGGTGAGGATGTTGGATCAGAGGAAACCAGAGAGTTCATTTGTTCTCCAGCTAAAGCAGATCAGGTCAACATGACAATGAGGTTCTACTGCTCATTTAGAAAAGATCCAGTGCATGTAGATGGATGGGGAGTGGATGAGGTTGGTTCATTCTGTGTAGACATCTCTAGAGGGGGTAAAGTCAGGCTAGAAATAAAGTTTGGCTCAACAGAGATAACAGCCACAGGAACCAACATGAGAAGTGGAGAGAAGCAAGCAGTCACAATAGACTTCATGACCACAGACAGCGAATGTGTCATTGATGAGGCAGATGATGAGATCAGTAATGGATTCAGTGAAGCATCAGCAGAATATATCATGGATGGAACTGATGAAACAACTTGAATTTTGCATTTCCATTAATTTCAAATGTGACTAAAAAGCTCTATCTATCTATCTATCTATCTATCTATCTATCTATCTATCTATCTATCTATCTATCTAGATAGATAGATAGATAGATAGATAGATAGATGATAGATAGATAGATAGATAGATAGATAGATAGATAGATAGATAGATAGATAGATAGATAGATAGATAGATAGATAGATAGATAGATAGATAGATAGATAGATAGATAGCACAACCCCCATCCTCATGGAGCTGGTTTCAAAGACAGAGGTAGTGGTCCTTACGCTGGGTTGTTGTTCCCCTATGTCTTCCATGTCTCCTGGTGGTACCTCCAATCTATGGACACTACGCTGACAGACACAGCAAACCTTCTTGCCACACTCCTAGCATTGATCTGCCCTCCTGGATGAGCTGCACTACCTGAGCCGTTTGTGTGGGTTGTAGAGTCTGTCTCATGCAACCACAATTACAAAAGCATCACCAACATTCAAAGTGACCAAATCATCAGCAAGAAAGTTGTCTATTCCATTTGCACAACAGCATCAGAAACTGATTGTCAATGTTGCTTTCTAAGTGGACAGTTTGATTTCAGAGAAGTTAGTTCATTGAAGTAATATTGTATTGTTTACGTGGAGTCTTTTTTGTTGTGTACATGATGTGTAATTGTAATCTAGAGATTTAATAAAAAGGAAAATGTAACAAACAGAACACAAAAAAGGTGGAGTTGCTTTGGCAGGAAAAAAAATCCTTTCCTGCACCATTAAATATAATAACATTACACAGCATAATGCTCAGCCAAAAACATTAACATATTGACCTTCAAGAAAGTATAAACCCAGAAAAGTGGAGCGTACCGTGACCCTTATTCTCTCTAAAAATCTCCAGACCGAGGGAGATTTGGTTGTGGTTTGTTGATCCAAATGCAGAGGCAAGGAGGCAGAGGTGATTTTCTTGTGGGTTTAATGAAATAGTAAGTGAACACAGAAAGCAGGAAATCCAAAAATCAAAACATGAAAACAAAGTCATGACAAACCAGAAACCAGAGGGGAGACATCGGGGGGAAAACTATCATGAGGAGGAAGACTCAGAGAGAAGAAGTTGGAGGAAGCTAGATGAGGAACCAGCACTGAAGAACTGAAGAGTTGCTCTGTTCAAAAACCTGGGACCCTTCCTTAGAAGGCCAGATTCAAAGGCCGATGATGTCATAGCGCGGCGCCGAGGTCTGGTCGGATTCCAAGAGTCCTCGTTATGCAGCCTTAAAATGCGTCCTTCTTTTTGCCCGGGATTCATTGCGAGACCAAGCAAGCCGTGATCAGAGGAAAGGTTACTTGGCGCCTAACAGTGGTGAAAATTGGAAGTTCAGTTTAATATAATCCAGTCAGTGAATAGTTCCGTCTGAAATGAATGAAAATAGTTGTTTTAATGGTTATAGAGTCAATTCAATTCAATTCAGTTTATTTATATAGCGCCAAATTCACAACACATGTCATCTCAAGGCACTTTACAGTTCAACCAGATCATACAGTCAAATTGATACAAAGTTTTCTATCTAAGGAAAACCAGTTGATTGCATTGACTCATTGATTCAAATACAATTCCCCACACTAAGCATGCTTGTAGCGACAGTGGAGAGGAAAAACTCCCTTTGAACAGGAAGAAACCTCCAGCAGAACCAGGCTCAGTGTGAGCGGCCATCTGCTGAGGCCCACTGGGGTTCAAGGAGACAGAAGCAGAGATACAAAAAGCAGCTGTAAAAGGCGGCCCCGTCCAGGAAACACACAGCCAGGCAGACGAGCTCCAAGGCAGCTCCCATGCCAGAGGACGAAGAGAGCACATCCAGTCAGTCACGGTCAGAGAAACAGGACCACACTGGAAAACAGGCCGATCTCCAACATCTATAAACAAGGGTGTTGATAGAAGCAGCACAGCTGATGTTTCTTTCCAGGATGACGTCACAGCCAAACAGGAACAGACGAGGCAAAGCTACTCTGAGGAAAAGCAGAGAGAGCAGAACGTTAGAGATTGAACTAACAGATTCTGCAGAATAGGAGAACAGAGATAGAATGAAGCAGAATGATGAAAAAGGGGTCCCTATGTCCTCCAGCAGTCTAAGCCTATAGCAGCAGAACTATAGAGATAGCTCAGGATAACCTGAGCCACTCTAACTAGAAGCTTTATCAAAAAGGAAAGTTTTAAGCCTAGCCTTAAAAGTAGACAGGGTGTCTGCCTCACGGACTAAAACTAGTAGTTGGTTCCACAGGAGAGGAGCCTGAGAACTAAAAGATCTGCCTCCCATTCTACTTTTAGAAATTCTAGGAACCACTAGTAAACCTGCAGATTGAGAGCGAAGTGCTCTGTTAGGAACATAAGGAACAATCAGATCTCTGATATCAGATGGAGCTTGGCCATTTAAGGCTTTATATGTGAGAAGGAGGATTTTAAATTCTATTCTGGATTTAACAGGAAGCCAATGAAGAGAAGCCAGGATAGGAGAGATATGATCTCTCTTTTTCATTTTCATCAGAACTCTGGCTGCAGCATTTTGGATCAGCTGAAGGCTTTTAACTACAGTTTGTGGACTTCCTGATAGTAAAGAATTACAATAGTCCAGCCTTGAAGTAACAAATGCATGGACTAGTTTCTCAGCATCACCCCTGGACAGGAGATTTCTAATTTTTGTCAGTCAGATATGTCAGATATGTGGCGGTAATGCTTGATTTATCTAAAGGTTTTAATCTGTTACTGTGTAAATGGGTTTGGCTGGAATTTAAGGACAGATTCTAATATATCTGCAGGGTGGGGACTATAAATCTGATAGGATTTTTATCTTTTTATTGCTGTTTTGCACAATATGCTTAACTAAGTATTTTTTGTTGTTGAATATTAGATATTTTGCAGATATATTTTTATAGATACATTGTTTAGATTTACTTTCTTTCTACCCCTTTTATAGAATAGAATAGAAAATCTCTTTATTGTGTTATGTGCTTCGGGCACATTAGGATTTTTTTTGTCTATTTCTTTTTTTTGTTTTCTTACAGACTTTAGTTAAAGGATCTTTTGTTAAAATATTTTGGGATTCTTTAGTAAATTAATTATGTTAATTTGCGGTGCTGTCGTCCGCCTATAAATAGGCTGGCCTTCAGCACGTTAATGCGTTCCTTTTTCCTACCTCGTTTGGGACGCCGCTTTCCACCTGTTCCTTTTGGTTCCAGCGTGCGCGGTGCGCACTTGTCTTTCTGCTGCGGCCTGCAGCGGACGATCCAGCTTGCCATGCGGTATTTTTGTTAACAGTTTTTTCTTACTTTTTTCTTGAATTTTTGGCCTGGCAGGACCGGTAGTCCTGTTTTCGATTTTTTCTTTTCTTAGGATATTTTTTGGTCTTTAGTCCGGTACCAGTAGGGGCTTCGACGGCCCTGTATAGGATTGGCCCCCTGCTGTACCGTTTTGTTCTGTTTGGCCGGCCTGCCAGGTCCAACTTTCTGTTGTTACTTTGGGTTTTTTTTTTACTTTTGGGGCACGGGATTTGAGGGCCTTTTCTTACTCTTCTCTTCACAGAACATCAGAAGAAGCTGACCAAGAAAAACTAATTGAAGAGAAGTGCTAAATAAAATAATTCTTTTGAACCCTCATTTGTTGTCTCGTGTCCTCAAATATGTCGTGTCCTTGGCGGGACGTAACATATTTTTGGGGGCTTGTCAAAACAAAGTTTGCCTTTCGTGTCCCCTATTATGTTGTGTCCTTGGTGGACGTAACATATTTTTGGGGGCTTGTTTAAACAAAGTGTGCTTTTGGAGACAGGTCGTGTCCTTCGGTTGGTTCTTGTTTGTTGGTGGTTGTGCTGGGCTTGTGTGTGTTTTTGCGCAGCTGACGCGCGTTGCGCTGATTAGTTAGGGCACTCGGTTCTGGTGGTGCTGTAGCTTTGTTTGTGCGGAGGTGTTTCTGAAATTTGGTGTGGCTTGATTCCAGGGGTAGACATGGAGTTTGACCTGGATGAGTTTGTTCGAGAGCCCACGTTGGATACTTTGCGTAACTGCACAAAGGATCAGTTGCTGTTAATAGCCGAGCATTTCAAGGTTACCGTAGATAAACGTGTTAAGAGGGGAACAGTTGAAGCTGAGTTGTTAGACGCGCTGGTGCAGATAGGAATTTTTCCTGCTACAGTTTTTCCGAAAAGTCCTGTTGGATCGCCATCGAAGGCTTCATTGAAAGATGACCCGGTGCGTTTGAAGGAACTGGAAGTTGAATTGGGTCAGCTTGCTTTGAGAGAAAAGGAGCTTGCTTTGAGAGAAAAGGAGCTTGCTTTGAGAGAAAAGGAGAGAGAAAAGGGGGCTGCATCTTGAAAACACGATTTAAAATACA